AACAAAAAAAAAAGATTATCTTTATAATTCTAATAATCAGTATCTAATTGTAAAACAAAACATTGCTACGTAAGTTTCTTATCAATGTTTGAGAAATGTGAGGTCGACAATTTCTTTGATATTTTTGCTTTTATGCGTCATGTACATGTGATACCACACGATTCGCGTAACGATCTGCGTCATGCATGTGCAACGCGTGGCAGTGAAAACGTCAAAGTTAAAATTTGTATCGTATACAATTTTTTCGTATATACGAAAAAAAATTGCGTAAAGAGAAATAATTTTCTACTCGCACTAAAAAGTATGTTAAATAAAACTTCAATACATAGATATTAATTAAAATGTCTTTTCACATTTTATCCTCGAATGTCTATTATCATTGATGTTTGTCAGATATTAATTCGTGAATCTCTTGAAACCGCAGAATTTATGGTATAAATACACTACAAAAAAGTATGTAAAATTACATAAATAATATATATAAAAATAATATAATTTATTAGTGGAAATATTTAATATTGTGCATTTTTATAAAAATTTATATTTTTAGCTTTAATTACGTGAATATGTACTTATACCAGACTAAAAGTTATAATAACAATAGTATATTTTTTAATAACATAATGATAATATAACACATATTATATTTGTATTTTTACTATATATCGATAATGTAGCTTAAGAAAAATTCTAACTCATCGACGAATAATTAAGTAAATATATTAAGTAAATATATTTCTATAAACTTATCTTTAATTGTAACTTTATTTTTCAAATTGTTTAATCACAAAGAAAAATATTATTTGTAATTTTATATTTGAAACTTTAATTAAAATTTTATTTGTAAGTTGTATATAACTTACGTAAATATATAATACTTTTAATAATGGATCTCAAAATTATTCATTGTAATTGAAATTTTATATGTAATTTTTTTACAATGTAGTATGGTATTAAAATTTCTCTCTCTCTCTCTCTCTCTCTCTCTCCTTTTATAAATATTTTCCTTTACCTCTGTCATCGACTGTTACTTTCGACCATCTAAATCTCTTCGCAGATGGTTTAATTGCGGAAACCTCGAAATCGGCGTCTCTGGTGAAGCAGAGCGTATAAAGAATCGTCGGTCGAAACTGCGAGTCAAAATCTCAATTTTACAGTCTTTTCAAGTCCCGCTGACGTTACGTATCGCTAAGCTACGAAACACTTCTGTGCTCTTCGCGGATGGTTGAAGTCACGCTGTACTTCTTGCGCGAGGGGGAGAAGAAGCGGTGCGAGACTACACACAGACGGGATGCAAGATCGCGGCTTTCCGAAGCGGAGCACGCGGCGAAAAATGTTTAAAGCACGAGCGTAAACATCGAACTGGCGCTGCACTGCACAGTGTGCGAGACCGCGAGACCACGCGCCGACCTCAACAGGCTGCTTTCATACCGAAACCGCCGACAGGAGGATACAACGTGGGGATGCAGCCTGCATCTGGTTGGTCGGTGCTCTGGATCGACGCTTTGCGAATGCAACGTGCACCTTGACGCCTCGTATCATGTTTTATGCAATAACATATAATACGTAACGTATATATGTTATTCCATAAAACATGATACGATATGATTGTATAACGTATGTGATACGATATGATTGTGTAACGGCAGATATTGTCTAGAAGATATGAGCACAATTTAGAATTAATTTATACCGCTTATTTGCTATAATGCACAATACCAATTCAAAAAGCAAAGTTATCTAGTTTAGAAAATAAATTTGAATATTCTGAATAATTAAAATTTTGTAATATTAATTTGGAAATATAATTTAAGTGAAATAACTAATTGTAGAAGAATAAAAATAGGTTCTTTCTTTTGTTCTTTATGTTTCCTTTGTTTCTTACGTCCAACTCTTTCTTTTTATGTAAGCAAAATGACAATTTTTAATTTATTGTTGCAGCAAATAATCAATATTTACATTTTTTTTGAATTTTTGCATCTAACAATTTAATGAGAATACATAATTAAGAATATTTATTAAGTCATACTTTATAAAACAGATAGATGGGTAACAAAAATAAAATTTGTTACAGAGATTCTTGTCGAAGAAAGTCGATTATAATTTCAGGAATTACAGGAATTTATGCAAAACGATTGATCATAAATTTGAAACAAACGCTCGTCAGAGACTCTTCTTGCCGCCCTCTAACTCCTGATTAAGCAGACGGATTATTAGCAAGCAATCTCAGCACGATGATAATTTCGTCAAGAATCGATTATTGAATATTTATCAGCGGCGTTCCCGCCTCTCCTCGCCTCGGCAATTAATCGTCGTCCCCCGAAATAGCGGCTTCCTCGTCAATATCGTAACGCTACTCGGTCGTCGACCTCCGTTGCACCATATAACCGGTGTATTTCGAGCAAATTTCCAGCTAAATCTCAATTCGCCTCATTCGCGCAAGCACGCGTCCATCTTCTTATGATATCACGGAAAATTGCGATATATATATAATATATCATAGTTTTTGTTCGGACTCAAGTACTTATTTGCATTGCTCGCCACTACTTCCTGAAATTCTTGAAAAATTTGCATATACGCCAAAACGATAAAACACGATGAATAAATTCTGCAGGAAACTAGTTCCCATTGAACTGAATTTATCACTCGCATATATACACGATAATGATTACAAGAATAATCGTACATAGCTGATAGTTCAGCAACTTGATTTAGTGACTTAACGAGAAGCAAGATATTTGCTTCTTTATTATTTCGAATATACAAAATTTTTAAAACCTGTGGGAGAGAGGAAATGTCAAAAGTGTTCGGAAAAACGATAATTAAAAAAATATATTAAATTTTAATAAATCATTTATATTTGAATTATTATTAAGAATTAATTAAATATTAAATATATTTATTTGATACAAGAATTAATTTAATAAAAATTTTCTTTATAACAAATATGTATATTTAATGTAAATAAATGTTTAGTTGGCACACTATTTTAATATTTATTAAAATTTAGTACATATTTTTTAGTGTGGGTGTGAAAATATAAGAGAGAGGGAAAAAGAGATAAGAAAAATAATATTATTTAGAAATTAGCTCTTCTTATTACTCGAATTATATACGCAAGAATAATTACGGAAACAATACAACCGATATCATTTTAACGATTTGGTTAGCGAAAAGCAAGGAACATTTGCTCCATTATCTTAAACACAAAGTTCTTGAAACCTGTAGGAAAGAGAAAATATCAGAAATGCCCGAAAAATAATAGCAGGTATAAGAGAAGAATGTAAAGAGAGATCAGAGAGAGAAAGAGGGAAATAATATTTAGAAATAAATTTCTTCTTTTTTTGTATAAATTTTTTAAATCTTCAAAATCACAAGCACTTAAAATTGCAGCTTTATTTATATAAGAAACGTCATATCGCATAGTGTGCAACTGTGTGATTTATCCCTTAATCCAAAATCCGCGTAAAAGTAATCCTGAAAAAGAACCTGTTACAGAGATTGCGTCCTCCCTCCAGGCTCGAAACTTAATTCATCTCTGAACCCCACAGGTCTCGCAATCACCTCGCCTACCGTCACTAATGCGACGGTTCTGAGAATTTTAGAAACGACGCATCTGTCATTTGCAGCCGTCCACGTTCTCACTCGAGATGTTTCTTCAAAGTAAAATCCGGCGGCAAAATTTCTCGGCGCATCAACGGATTTAAAAGCGGAAAATCGCTCATGATTTCTAAATAATTTGTAAAACTGCACACATACACGCACGCTCATATATATGTGGCAAGATTTTTGTAATATCTCTTTCTCTAACAATAAGCTGTGAAAGGAGTTAACGCCGGAGAAAAAAATAAGGGAATTTCGATCTCGTATTAAATTTTTCTCTACTATACTGAAAAGTTTAGTTTATTACACAATTATTTATGTAATATCTTAGTACGTGTTAATTTTAGTCGTAAATAAATATGTATATTTATACATTTAGTATTTTGAAGTTTGTAGTTTTAAAGGGACTAAGGAAGATTGAAATTTTTTTTAATTGGCTTGCGTTTAATGAAAAATTAAAAATAAACATAAAGTTAATCAAAAGGTAATAAAGTTAATCCAGTAAAATTTTTCAAAACTTTTTGTTTTTTGGATATCATTTTGTTAATTTTTTTATTTTTAATTTTTCATGTACAATTAGTAGAGGGAAGCCTAATAAGAGAGAAATATTCCTGAAATTTTTCAAAATTCGTTCGATTAGAATCGAAAAATTACAGACTTTTTTCTATATATGCTACTAAATTGCTAAAAGTGGGATTTCATTTCAGTGTTAAATGAAAAATTCATTGTACGATAAAAAAATGCTTATAATATTGACCTTAGGGTGATATTTCATTTGTGCGTTTTGCTGTACGACGATTTTTTAAGCCCGTTGACTATAGAATAGAGAGATCCGAGGACCTCTCTGTTCTGTACACATTTATTCTGTACGATAAAAACGCATCCATAGGATGTTCATCTATAGGATGAGATTTTTATTTGTTCTACAACATTTTTGTCCTACAAATTTGTCAAGCATTTTGATTGGCTATAGGATAGATAGATCGCACAAAGAAAGTCCCATCCTACGAATGCTATTTCATTTATGCGTTTTGTTATACAAGAAATTTTTCAAGCCCATTGGCTATAGGATAGAGAGATTCGAGGACCTCTCTGTCACATTTGTCGTACAACATGTAAACGAAATAGCACTCATAGGGACTTTCTTTGTGCGTTTTGTATGACAAATGTGTGCAGGAAAAAGAAATCCTCAGATCTGTCTATTCTATAGCCAATCAAAAGACTTGAAAAATTTATTGTAGGACAAAAATGTTGTAGGACAAAATCTCATCCTATCTCCTCCATTTCTTCTAGAAATTGTGATTCTGCGCATGCGTCAAAAATTGTGAATAGAAGAAAGAATATAAAATACAATACGACTGAGTCAGTTGTACAACACACGTGTTCAAAACGTATCTCTTCAGTATAGTATAAAAATCACAGCATCTGAAAAATTATATATTTTTTCAGAAGAGGAAATTCAAGAAAAAAGGTAAAAATATTTGAATTTAATAATATATTAGGTGTTGGAATTAATTCGTAGCGTTTTACAAGTGATGGGAAGTACTTTCATTAATGTATTTTTTAATGCTCATGTGAAATAAATAACATTCTTTCATTAAAAAACGCTACGAATTAATTCCAACACCTAATAATTTTGAATATACATATATAATAGAGGTGTAAAAAAAAATGAGATCCCATTCAATTTCTTATAGAATTATGAAAAGAATTAAAAAGCTATTGAGAGCTCACACAATTATTGGTGCGCAAAATTTAATTTATTGTTTATAAATTATATAGTGCAAACATTTTGATCAATCTTTCTGATCTTCCTTTATCAAAGTGATAAAATAATCAAATGAAATAGCATTCAAGAAAACGTAAAATTACAAATTGCAGAGAGTCTCGTATATGAAACATGCTGAATTGTTTCGTAACTAATTAAAATTAAATAGAATTGTAATCCTGTTATCGCAGTCCAACGAGGTATTATTTAACAGTGATGACTAGGTACGTTTATACGGATACTCTTAATGAGGTTTATTAATAGTTGTAATTATAAAATGTCAATTATGTCATCGTGTAACGTCAGTTAAGTTAAATTCTAATTTCTTTGATTCTCGTTATAACGACATCATCGTTGGCTCGAAAAATCCTGTTGCTTTCTGTGTAACCTTATTATTATTTGTTACTTTAAGCGCTCTGAAAACAAGTTTTCATAATAATTTGTGTACTGATGAGCAAATGTACATCACGTGAACACAATGTGTTACGATATTGCTCAAGTCGTAAAATTCTTCACATTAATGAATACGTGTTACTTAATTTCATATATGCATAATTTTATAAACTTATCTGATGACGAAGAATATATCCAGTTGCTAAAACTGGGCGAATCGGCTCGTATAGACGGGTTATATGATAAAAATGATGAGAGTCTAGAAAGTGACGGAGCCATAAAACGGTACAGAGTTCTTAAGTCTCTCAAGGATAGCAGGCATATGCGTATCAAGTGGCATAAATGCCGGTTTCAAATCTATTTACGCAACTTTATTACCGTGCATGTATAATGCACCCTATCAGCATAAATAAAGGAATAAGTTATTACGTAGACTCCAACAAGTTGCATTACCGATGAGAGAACATAATATGAATGAAAAATAAGTATGTTCTAACAGTTCACAAATTTGATGAACATTCCACGAACGCTAATTAGCATGACATATATGCCACAGATAAATATTTATATAGTAATATTTAAATTTTGAAATATATAAATTATATATAATAATGAATTTTAATTTCACGAAGGCTAATTAGCACGATACACTATACATGAATATTTGCAATATATGAATTTTTAAACATGAAAATTTTAGTAACGAATTTTAATTTCCATGTTTATCTTAAATAACGGTAGATTTCATAATCATAAAAAAAATAAAATGAGTAATACGAATAAAGGTTGTACAACTAAAATAATATATCAGATTTCATTTGTTAAGAACTTTTTCGTTATTTCCTTTTTAACACTTATTCTTTTTTTTTTTACAACTTATATCTTTCATATCTGAAATATCTTTATGTATCGTCTGGCATTCTATTAAAGTTTATTAAAAATTAAAAGTTATTACGCAGACTTTTCAGTAAGTTTTATTAATGATCTGTATGATATGAATAAAAGATAAGTATATTTTAACAGCATACAAATTTAGTGAAAATTTCATGAATGCTAATTAGCACAACATATCATAAACGAATATCTAATTTTTTAAGTATATAAATCTCTTATAATTAGGGGAGCATATATCTTTATACTTGATTTTCTCTGATATAAAATTTATTAAAAATTAAATGAAAAGAACTACTTCGATTTCACTTTATACTTTATGATACTCCGAGTTCTGATATAAATGAAGAATGGTACATAATTTCTACATTTCTTGCGCAAAGTTCCACATTATTCCTGATAAGTGAAAGGTGGAATTCCTAATTGTCTGGGGAAACAAATTTCGTACCCATAGCTTCGATCGTTACGTCAGTCTCGAAAAAAAAAAACCGTGACACGAGATTTTACCGACAAAAGCGAAGGCCAGCTATTCCGCGCGAGCAAGTTTGTTGTTTCTTCGGCGAGGCATATGACGCTTCCTCCAATACTTCAGTTCGACAATGTTCTCGTTGCAGGTCGATAGTGCACCTGTACACGTCGACCAAGAGATAAATTTCGTACGACTCGATCAGGGCAAAAGTGTTTTTGCTTCGATTCGAGTAGTGCATTATTTTTAATCCTTAGTAGGTACACATGATTAGATCATTCGTGTATATAAACTGTTAAATATCAAAGGATTGAACAATGATAATTCTTTTTTGACTTAAATATTTTGTAATTTTTAACTTCCATATGTATCAAAATGTAAATCAATTCATTTCTGTAATTAATTTTAAAACAATGTTAAACAATGTTTATCTAACGTATGTGCATTCTCTAAAACTTTTAGAGTGAACCTCAGGCTTTTTCAAGACTGACTCAATTTTTATACCTTTTAGAATGAGATTCCACTTCAAAGAGTAGTTTAGAGAGTAAGTAATAAATTAGGTTTGAGTCAAATTTAATATATTTTCTTGAGTTACATTGTTTAACTACATTATTTTAATTAAATTAACACCATATTAAGTAATAGCGACTAATAGAAATGATTAAAAATATAATTTAGCATTATATGAATTTAACAGTATACACATTTTCTTCCTTTGAAATACTAGAAGCACTAAATAAATAGTTATATATAATTTTTCAAATATCTTACAAGTACTTCTTAAAGATGTTAAAGATATATGTAAGAATTACTTAATAATTTCTGTGTACTTGCAAAAGTGATGAAAATTAATCGAAGAATCATTTTGGCCCAAGCTAAACTAATGCATTTGTATTTTATTTATCTAACACTATTTTGTTTTCACTTAATCTGACTATTGTCGCTGGTCGAATAGAACCCGTTTTGAAGATCGAGTATCAATAAAAAAGAACAAGAAGTCGACTGAGAGATATACCGTTGCAACCGGATCGGACACCAGGTCGGTGATAACGTCAGCCACCGGGTCCGAAACGTGTCTCTCCGTTACGCTAAATCAAGATTTTTTTATTCCATAAAAAACATGTTTCTTCGCTGGAAAATTCAACGCAACTCTTTCCAGTTTTCAAAGCGAAAAACACCGGTGACTCATATTCGCAATCGACCGCTTTATCTGAGATTTTTGTTGTCATACGTGCAACACGCGGCAGTCACGTTCTGAGTGTTATATCGTTGCTAATCGATAACTTAATTTCTCCGCAGAAAAACGAGTTAAGCGAGTCTTAAAAAGTATTGAATATCGACGCTTAGGAAATGCGTCATAAGTCATGTAAAAGTATTGAGGTGATATTTGATTGCAAGAGTTCTGGAGAAATTACAAAAAGAAATAATGTTCGATTTCGAATTCTTGATAAAAAAAGATGATTCTCAAGATATATGTAGAACGCTTTAAATATCGTTGGATGCGTATCCTTGAATAGATGCAGGATATATTTAGCTTACTTCTAGTTATTTTATACGAGGATCTTGTCGATAATTAAATCAAGAAGAAACGTGAGTCAATCGATGCTCCACATTGTTTCTTAATCGAATAACCTGATATTTCTAAAAAGAAGATGCAAAGTGTTTAAATATAACATTTAACGCATATGATCCGATTACCCCGATAATTCTAATAAAGTGATTAGTTACTCTGATAATTCTAATAAGCGATATAAATTTATTTTGTCTCTAATGATTTGTATTGTAGAGCAATTATGAAAAATCATGTCCTCCATCTTCGCCATCCTCTATCCAACGATATTTAAAGCGTTCTACATATATCTTGAGAATCATCTTTTTTAAAAACTTTCAAAATTTAAGCTCAAATGTCTCTAAATGAGAACAATCAGCGACAGGGAGAATGCAATCAGTTGATGCAATTCATTAATTATCTGCCTCTTAGAAGTTAAGCCAACCAACTTCTTTTTGTCTCAACTTTAGTAATAGTAGAGAGCAAAGTGTTAGGGATTTGTGGCTATAATTGCATGATAAAATAATGCAATATAATGATTTGTCAATATCGTTTATGACATTTTTATTATTCTGACACTTATTTATAATTTGTTAATTATACATTTATATTTTATTGCTTTGACATACTGAAGATACCTGATCTTAGTCAAAACGCGTCTACGTTTTATTTTTTTATATTATTAAATATTTAAAATACAAGACTTGCGCAAGAAAGATCCTGCATGTGACTCCTTTTATTGTTTATAATCACTTTCTAATCAACACTATATATTTTTTTATATAGGACTCTAAATATAATTATTATTACTAACATTATAGCAGTAATAACTACAAAAATGGAGCTCATAACCACAATTATTTTATCATGCAATCACAATCACAAGGCTTCTCTAAGGCCCAGTTTTAAATTTTTTCTGGTTGACTTGTGGTTAGACTTAACTTGGTATTTTACACAATGGGCTTCATCTATGATGATGTTACGGGTGAAGTCCATTGAGGGAAACATCTTAACCACAAGTTAATCAGATAATGAAAAATTGGGCCTCAGTGTGATTGATTTACAATCTTCTCACAGAGTCGACTTCGCGAAAAAAATGATGATGAAAGCATTGACGAGAAAATTGTAACGAGAAGATTGGTTTATCTTCCTAGAGAATTTATCTTCTTTCTTCTTTGACACGATTGTTCGCACATACCTCGCTCGCCTGCTCGCAAGGGGAAGGCACTTTGGCGGAGAATTCCTTCGGGAGATTCTTGATGCTCGCGGCCGTACTCCCGGAATCGTCGTCCACACGTGCGGAGCCAGGAATGACACTTTCCTCACCGTCGTCGTCCTTCGACCGTTGCTCATGTTTCGAGAGCAGCTCGCGCTGCTTCTGAAAGAACTCAGGCTCGCTGAAGCACTTCTCGAGGCTGGCGGCGCGCTGGAGGGTCGTCGGCGAGCTCGGGGTCGAGCGCGAGAATTCGAGTTCGTCTCGCAGCAGGTTCTCCGCGCTCTTGTTGCATATTCGCGGTGGGTCCTGGTCTCGGAACGTCCTGCGTTGGCTCTTCGATACCTCGCACATCGCGCGCTAACCAGAGAATGCCCTTCGTCGGGAGAAAGCCGCGCGGCGCACGTCCAGCGACATTTCACGCGTACATTTCGCAGACGAACGGCTGAAAGAACTTCCAATAATTATTTACGGATCAACGAGGAGGTGAATGTGAAGGGATACTTTAAAATAGATTTTAAAACAGCGACGTTATCAAGATATATATATATTATATATCTACTGCGCGATTGCCATATGGAAGAACGATTTTGCTGATATATATCTAAAAGTTTAGCTAATCTGAAAATAATTCCATTGAACTATCAAAATAATTACGTAAGAATCTCAAGCATGATGAGTAATGGCTCAACAGAGAAAGCAACTTTCCAACTGTTGTGAAATTCTTTAACACGATTGATTTATACATTTAGATTTAGTGAGGAACTAAGAGCAGGACCAATCATGTTAAAGGATTTTACAACAATTGTAAAGCTACTTTCTCTGCTAAACGCAGCTAATAAAAAATGTTTTGACATTCTAACAATCAAATTTGAGCGTCTTACGTAACTCAATACAGCAGAAATGTCTAAATTATATCATAAGGACAGTTTCAAGATATAATGTCTATAAGATATCCGTATGATTAAATATTCAAAATATTTCTGTATATAGGAATTATCTTAATAACTAACAAATTATTTTTAAATCTGTATAAGTCAAATTTTTAGATACTTTCGCAAAACCATTCCTTTCACACGAGCGTCTTTCAATTCGATTTTACTTTATATACGAGACACAACGTTGGCTCATCCTCAAAAACAAAACGACTTGCATATCGACGAATAAATCGAGCTATTGTCCGACCACGTTCGGCGAATAAATCGAGCTATATGTCGAGAGCTAAATATATCTCACACGGGGAATAACCACTCGATATCTTCTCGATCGCATTCGTTCGCGGCGTGAGAATTTTTAACATTTCCAACAGAAGGGACGCGAGACTGTTTGCCAAGCAATTCGTTTATTGGGATTAGGTTATAAAGCGGACGCGTAGAATTCATCAAGGTGGATTGATGATCGTAAGTCACTCTTACCTGTTCCGTCTAATGAGATCCTTTACCCGATTGATCCTTCGCGAGGACGCAGTCACACACTCCGCAGTTTCGCGACGTGACGCACGCAGAGACCACCAGACGCGAGACTACCTCTCCGCGAGGGACGACCACCCCGCGTGCGTCATGCGGAAGGACATCTGTTGCCCCGCGACACCCCTCGGCGAGCGAGACGTTCACCCCTCTTTCTCCTCCCTTTTCGATCTCTTTCTTCCTTTCGCTTTCCGTGTGTCCTCCTTTCTCTCTCGCACTTACAAGGGATCGTTACGCTCATACCACGCACGCGTAATGTACAGGGTGGCGCGTGGAAAAGTGGTCTGGCGCCAATGTCGATGAAACTTGCTATATGAAAAAAAAAAAGAAAAAAAAATGGTTGAGTAATTTTTTCCTTACAAGATTAATAAAAATATTCTGGACTATTTTTGATGAATTTATGATAAAATTTACTTATCTCTAAAAGTAAAAATACCGGAGGGGTGTAAGATAGTACATTATAATTACAGTAAATTCAGTTAATCTTATAGTAAAGTAAATCATATTATTCTCAAGACTGTAAGCACGAACGACTTTCAAAATTTACTTTATGAAATGTAAAAAATATCTTACGTCTTATAGTGACTATAAGACGATCGCTCAGTTTTTTTTACCAAAAAATAAAATAAATTTTACATAATTGTGCGCTTATCTTTATATGAGCCTGCCAATTCCATAAAATTTATTAGAATTTTAATACATATTACTTTGCTTCACTATGTTCATGAGAATTTTTAAAATTTTAATAATAAAGTTAATTAAAGTTTTATAAAATATTTTGTGTAATTCTAATCTCAGAAAAGTTGACACTTAAGTTTTCTTTTAAATTCTGATACTGACAAAAATGTAAACAACGATATATTTATCGTAATATTTTTCATTTTTTTTCTTATTTAATTTCTTAACTTTAAAAATCTTCTCTGAAAAAAGATTAAGAAATTAAAATAAGGGGAAACAATTTTACGAATTGCGACTTTACGTTAGTCAGTCTATTTCTAATTTAATTAACTGTTACGTTTATTGAAATTTACGTTTCCTGATAAAAAGTTTTTAAAAAATTTCTTAAATTTTTTATACAAGTTGGAACACTTTTCAAAGATACTAAGAAAGTTTACATCTATTCTAGAATTTTTGATATATATGTAGATTATGAAATACGTAAGATTACTTATTCAATAATTTCCAAAAAACATAAATTCTGAAGATATTTTTTTAAAATAATCTTAATAAAGTTAAAGTATAACAGATTTTTGAAAGTATCATACAAAATTCTAATACCGATATTAGAATACGATATTAGAATTTTTTTAGGTCAAAAATTATTTTTATTTTTGCGTGCAATTATTGATTTACAACATTTAAAATGCAAGCATCCTTGCGTAAGAGGGGCCCTTCCGAGACTCGTTTACATCACTGCTTATTCATGTAGTATCTCTCTTTTTCTCTCATGTCCCTTCCTTGTCCTTCGTCCTTTATCTATTCTACTACCAATCCCTTTATTATTATCATCTTCTCTTTCTTTCTAATTATCCCGCTATCCTTTTGTCTCTCTCTTCTCGAGTTTCGCTCTTCGCCCTTTCATCCCCTTATCGCCCTAATTCACACTCCCTTCCTCGTCGTTTTTTTTTCCTTTTCCTTTCGTTACGCTTTCCCTTCCTTCTCAACACGATCTACCCCACAGACAAAAAAAAGAAATTCGTGGGGTTCGTCGTGAATTATACCGACAGGGGGATGCATAGGCGAGACGACGACGCTGGCGGCATCGCGACGCCGCCTAAAATGCTCATGCGTCAATCGATCCGCAACTTTCGCCGAAGAAAGAAATTCTTTGGCGTGTCTCGACGTCTTTATCAATCGTCGAAAGTTTATTCTCCATCCTTGTCGATCTCGTTTCCTTTGAAGCCGTAGAATGAAACAATTTAATGTTCACTTCGCGAATAATGAATCACGACTGATTATTTTCTCTTCTTTCTGCGCATTGATTTTGAAAATGACGTCGCGGACTGTCTGCCACCTTTTTCGATTAATTAAAAATTCTATTTATGAAATAAATAAAATTTTTGTTATAAAATAAAAAATACAAATATTAATTGTATTAATAAAAAATACAAATATTATTTGTAAAAAGAGAGAAATAATTATTTTTATTAGAGTAACATTTATCTTTTATATAGACTTTAAAAATCTCTCTCACGTTTGATTTCTTTTTTTTTTTGCAATTCACACAACGAATGATACAAAATATATATTTCGATTTCAAAAGATAGCAGTGTAAGAAAGAATAACTATATTGCTCGAAAAAATTTTATCTGTCTTTGAATAATTAAATGTAATAACGTTTGTTTGCAGAATAAAAACAGAGCTTCGCTTACTGACAACCTTTATACAACGTCTAGATTATCTGAAGAATCAACACATTACTACTAGTATACATTATCGATCAGAGTTCAGTGCTATTAGGGTAAGAAGAAAGAAAAGAAACATGTTTATTTAGATATATTGGAGAAATTGTGTTACCTAAAGACATAAACTTTAAATTTTCCAAACATTGACACAGGTTAAGTCTGATTGCTTGCTTCAGTTTCTAGTTGTTTAAAATTAAATTTAATTAAGCGCATGTTCAGTTTTTTTTAATTATCATCCGAAAATTCAGTTTCGTATAGAGATTTTTGTAAGTATTATCTATATTTTGTTAATTATATATTATCTTAATTGCTTAATCCTCTGGAGCTGGCGATAAATCTATATTGAACGCATTTATAAATCTCTTAGTAAAAAGTGTCAAACAATTTTCTTTGTTATATCCTCGGTAATCACCTTTCGACTAGTATTCCACCGGAGATCGACAGTTCTTCTCGGCCGAAGATTCTATTATCTCATTGGAGATTGATGACTAGTACCGAAATTGCCGAAATTGAAATTGTCTTGTAGTGCTTCAAAAAATGTCATCAGATTTGGCTCTCCTCTCTGTCGGAGATGATAACAGCCTTGCCGGAGATCGTTTGCCATTATTGAAATTTATTTTGCTTTTTAATGTATTTTCTAAAAAAAAGACTTTATCAGGTTTGACTCTTCTGCCTCCTTTGGAAATATTTTTCTAAAAACCAAAGAAAAATTGACACGTACACTTAAAAAAAGGTAAAGAAAAAGGTCATCAAAATTTTGAGCGATTAATCTTAGATTTAATCAAAAAACCGAAATCTCTAGCTAAAAATCGGAGAGTGATAACCGTGGTTATATCTGAAAATTCGAATGTTTTCTTATTAAAATATATTTAGTATTCATTCTTTTGTATACAAGTTATATTACTTTGATTGAAACTGAATAGTGCCATTTAATTAACATAAATTAAATAGGCCTTACAGATCCAGCGTTAATAACTGTATTAGAAATTTTAGCGTCAGTTCCAGAGAGTTAAGAAGTATTTGTAAAAATATTCAAAAAAACACGCTACGAAATTCTACATTTAACTATTATTCAATATATTTATATAAGATTTTATCTCAAACAGAGATGAAAATCACAAAACCAAAGTGACCTTGCGACTTCTATCTTAAAGCCGCACACGATGTTTTCTTGTTAGATTGCTAGCTGGATTAGATTCTTGTCGCCATATTGATCAATTCTGACACTTTCAGCATCGCAGCCTATACGGTGACAAGATTCTGATCCAGCTAGCAATCCAATAAGAAACAAGCATCGTATGCCTCCGGCTTTACATTGTCACAATCCTTAGGTATGCCAATGTAGCTCATAATCATCTTTATTTTTTTTTTTTTAGGTTAGTATAATAAAGTAGCAGGCATGGATAGAAATATTAATTCATTACAAGAGTGGCTTAACAAAACAGTAGACATGATTATAAAGAGAAAAAGATCTCAAATGGTCGGCGAAATATCCGATAAATGGGATATACCTACGTTTAAAAAAATAAAGGTTAAGAAGGAAACGAAAGAATATCTTGACTTAACACAGAGGTTCGAAGCAGCAGTAAACGATGTTCTAGCTGGAGAAGAAGAGGAATTGGTCGCTACGAATTATGAACTTGATTTCGAGACATTGCGTGACGAGGTATGCCGCTTCAAAAATTCTGGAGCGGAGACATACGAGTACAATGGAACCGGAAGAATTTTTTCGTTTAAAGAAGAGCTACAGTTATTGAAGATCTTGGCCGCAATTCCGCGAGCCGATATGTCACAGTGCATATGTCAGACCTGCTCATTAAAACGATTGCCGTATATGGCTTATCGTATGGCTAAAGAGAAAAATAAGATATATCCACGTGAGTGGGACTTGAAGCAGCAAGCGGGAAAAGGTTGGTTGATAAAGTTCGAAATAGAATATGATTATGAGATCTTGAACTCATTCCCGGCTGTATGCAAGCTGACACCAAATAATTCAAGCGAAATAAACAAAGAAGATAAGCGACAAAAGGAAGAAATATAAGAAGAAATTGTAGGAAGATATATCTATCACAGATTCACAAAATTAATAGATCATTATAGACAGATTCTAAAAAGTAACACAATATTAATGTTACAATTTCATACCAAACAATGTAGTGTTATGTAACATATATGTTACACTCTAAATTTCTTGGAGTGAAATCTCATTCATTAAAATAGTGAAAATATAATCACTTTCAAAAAAGAGTGAAAATATTTCACTCCTTGTGATAACAATTTTTGCTCTTTCTCAAGAAGTGAAATATTTTCACTCTCTTAAAGTATATATTGCATTTTATATTGTTAATACTGTATATGCTTTTCATTTGGTGACACAAGTTAATACTTGTATCATCAAATGGGGACCACCAAGTGTGAAATTGTAATATTGATGTTATTATTAATAACTATAGTATTTACTGAGGTGAATATTAATTTCTAAAACTGATTTGCTTGTGAACTTAAAAAATGATTAATCAAACGAAAAAAAATAGGTAATCATCAATCTTAAGTTTTTCTGTATCATAGCTTTAAAGCCAATCATCAAAATTAATTTGAGAATTTTCACCACACAAAAGTTGCATTATATTATCTAATATCTATTAATTCTATTTAATTATCTAATATCTATATTATCTAATATATCATAAGCAAGATTTTCTACCTACAACATATAATTTCTGAATATATATCTGTCATATAATAAAATGAAAGTCTGATAACATTATTGTTTATTATTACAGTTCTATCTGAAAAAGCTCCTCTCAAAATGAACTTACGAATAAAAACAATGTCCATTCTTTCCGAATTATTGTCCAATTTACCATAAACTAATTTTGTAATAGCCGACATTTGTGTTCCTCTTTAACTTGACAATCTTTTAAAGTCATTAGATTAACAAAGTATCGCGAATTGCCATTATTTTGGTTCCATGCGCGGTACTTTGTTAATCTAATGATTTTAACAATCTTTAAAATTGACGCGCCATCTTGCGTTGCTATCGATGAATTGAAAGTGATCAGCTGACCTTTTAATGGATTCCTGGCGTCATCTTTCGACGCCTTTAGCGAACTGTGTTCTGTAATTACTGAATTATCAGCACCTTTCGAGAGGTGAACCTGTCGCGACAACCGGTAGACCTTTCAGTTTCACTGCCGTTTCTTTTCCCTTTGTTCCTCCCGCATTTATTATTCGGGATTCGAGGTGTATTTTCATATTTTGAAATATGCAAGCCAGCTTTTGGAACTTGGTGACCACATCGATCAGGGTAAGTCACGCGTGAATGGATGATTTCATGCAAGATACATTTAGTGATATCGCTTTCGTAACATTTTGTACGCATGCACTGTTAGTATGGTATCCTTGTCTTTAGTTTATTAGAGAATTAATGTTTATGCCTGCACAGATAGCTAAACCTATTTGTTAGATTTTCAGAACTCGCTGAAAAACTCAAGAGTTTCTATATTGTGTGCAAAAGTAGTTTTACAGATTGGTTATGTCATTTCTTTCTCTGTGTTAGTATATCACCAAATCTGTTCTTTTCAGTTTCTATGTTACACCTTCTGCACTAAAAAAAAAAAAATGAAAATAAAGATGAATAGTATCAAAATGTGATAATAGACAGAATAATAGATAATAATAGATAAACTGAATGATGATAATAGAATGACAAAAATTTTTAAAAACTATATTGACAATTACATATTTTTGTTATAATTATATATATACACACACACACACACACACACACACATTTTATGTACAAAGAACTTGTTGCAACAATGAGCTAATTTACATTTGTAAAATGGAATCAATCCAATAAAAATAAAATATTTGTATTTTCCCATCACTTTAATTTTAGAATTTATTTATTCCATTTTTACAAAATAATCCATTGTTTCAGTAAGCCTTTTATATACATTAAATATATTTTTTTTACATATATTACATATATGTTTATTTTAATTTTTAAATTATTAATTTTTTTAGCAAGTCATTGGTAATCAATTGCTATAGTATCATTTCTGTTTGTTATCAGCCAACATGCATAAAGCGTGTTCTACCAGGTATGACGGCCACCCAACAGCGTAGGTATGCCAGTACATTGGATGCAGATATAGTGGTAATTGGGGCTGGTCCTGGTGGATATGTAGCAGCGATTAAAGCTGCACAATTGGGCATGAAGACCGTGTGCGTAGAGAAGGGCCCAACTCTGGGAGGCACGTGTCTTAATGTTGGATGCATTCCATCAAAGTCACTTTTAAACAATTCACATTATTATCATTTGGCACATAATGGGGATTTAGCAAACCGTGGAGTTATTGGTGAGTAACTGAGTTAGACTCATTTTTACTAATGTAAATTAAGTTTAACCTTGGTTTTATCTCAATCTAATCTTGATTTAATTTTTAGTTTATTCTTAATTTATTTTTTTTCTAATTTTTAGAAGAAATAAACATTAGACAAATCGTTTATGAAAAATCAAATAATAATGGATTATTCTTTGCAGTATCAAATGTTCAATTGGACCTCAACAAACTTATGGAACAGAAAACAAACGTAGTCAAAGCTTTAACCAGTGGTATAGCGGGTTTGTTTAAAAAGAATAAAGTCGAGTGGGTTAAAGGTCATGGAAAAATTACAGGCAAGAACCAGGTCACTGCCCTAAAACCTGATGGATCGGTGGAATCGACTATCAACGCAAAGAATATTCTGATAGCGACCGGAAGCGAAGTTACGCCTTTCGCCGGCATTGAAATCGACGAGAAACAGATCGTGTCCTCGACTGGTGCACTCTCGCTCGGTAAAGTTCCCAAGAGGCTTATTGTTATCGGAGCTGGTGTCATAGGATTGGAATTAGGCTCAGTTTGGCAGAGGTAAAGCGCTAAATTTACAATAAAAGTATCCTTTAATATAGAAAAAGATGATTATGCATTCTCGCTAAAATTATTATTTCTACAGACTAGGTTCCGATGTAACGGCCGTTGAATTCATGCCGACGATCGGTGGTATGGGTATCGATGGGGAAGTTAGTAAAACCTTGCAGAAAATACTTGCAAAACAAGGACTGAAGTTTAAACTGGGAACGAAAGTCACGGTTGCTAACAAGCGTGGTAATGAGATCTTGGTTTCTGTCGAGGATGCGAAAGATTCCAGCAAAAAGGAGGACTTGACGTGCGACGTGTTGTTAGTGTGTGTTGGCAGAAGGCCGTATACACAAAACTTAGGTCTGGAGGATATGGGCATCGAGAGAGACGAGAAAGGAAGGATACCCGTAAACAACCGATTCCAGACGGTAGTGCCTAGGTAAACTACAAAATTTAAATTAAAAATTAAATGTCATTTTGCAATTTTAATTTCCTCCAATATACATATTCCTACAATGAAATATCTTATTGACTCCAAATAACTGTTTTCATAATTAAATTCGCAGTATTTATGCTATTGGTGACTGCATTCACGGACCAATGTTAGCTCACAAGGCTGAGGATGAAGGTATAATTACAGTGGAGGGTATTGCCGGAGGTAATTTTCATTTGCATACTAAGTATTACGTATTAGCTCATCTTATTTTAAGAAAAGATAAAGAAAAATCAAAAAGTATTATAAAATGAATTTATTCCTCACGTACAATACACGTCAGCAAGCTCTGTACAACATTATTTCTCAATATAATTGTTCAGCTTTATAATATATTTTCTGTAACAATCCGTAAGTCATTCAATCTGCAAAGAAGATTTTTGTCTGATCATGAAACCACATCGTTTTCTAAAATCTGGACCAATAAAAATTAAACTTTTCAGTTTATTGTCTACTTCTAATTTGTTTGGACCATTGAAGGAAGTCCTGCGTGACCAGTGACAATTCCAATTGTCTTAGAGTTTAAGAAGCGACACGTACGTGGTTTTATAGTTTCGTTTCACGAAGTTTCAAGAATCAGAAGACTTATGACACAAAATGTTGCAAAGCTGGATTAGCTAAATGATTGTATTGAGAAGTAACGGTATATATATTTTGCTAACATATATGAGAAGAATAAATAAATTCGCTTTACTTTTTCATTTCCCTTCATACAAATATGAACTTGTTCTCTTTTTTTTTCGTTTGATATGATTAAATGTGGATTATTTTGTAATGTGTAGGTGCGGTTCACATCGACTATAACTGCGTACCGAGCGTTATATACACGCATCCGGAAGTAGGTTGGGTCGGCAAGACGGAAGAAGATCTAAAGAAGGAAGGCATCGATTATAAGATCGGTAAGTTCCCATTCATGGCGAATTCCCGAGCGAAAACAAATCTCGAGGCGGACGGTTTCGCCAAGGTACTCGCCGATAACAACACAGACAAGATTCTGGGCGTACACATGATCGGACCGTCTGCGGGAGAGCTTATCAACGAAGCAGTTCTTGCGATGGAATATGGTGCCAGTGCGGAAGACGTTGCCCGCGTATGCCATGCACATCCGGTAAGAATTTAATATTAATTTTATTTTACATTACAACCTCTTCGCGTTTTGTACATGATATCCTTGTACAATTAATCCTTTTGACAATTAAACATTATATGGAAATTTAATTTATTTTGGAAATTTAATTTTGTGCAAAAAGAATGAGTTAAAAATAATTCTTAATCTTTTTTAACAAATCATGTTACTCATTATATTTGACTGTTAATTCTTGCTGAAATCAACTCTGAGGTCGGTATTCGTAATCAGATCTTATATTCAAAACCGTTTTAAATATAGTCTCTAAGAAATCATGAACCAATCACAGGGCCATATTAGTGTCTTAAGACATTACTTAACCGTCTTGAAATAAGAACGGACTATGAATCTCTAAATATTAGAACTGAGAGGAAATTTAAATAGAATTATTATACTTTATCGTGATTTAAATTTCTTTTCTTTCTTTCAGACGTGCGCTGAGGCGCTCAGAGAAGCTCATCTGGCAGCCTATTTCGGCAAACCCATCAACTTTTAAGATCTTATAGAGAATAAGTGAATTGCACTTGTTAGTTCATATCGTGAATGCGTTTAGCATTACATGTGCCTGTCTCCAAACTTTAGTGAAATTAAATAACTTGATCATCTTTCATGGACAGA